ATACAAGTCAACAATCAATATCGCGCTCACGGACATGCCGCTATAAGTTCCATAGCTCTAGGCCCGATCTCATACGCTAGAAGTAACTAATCTCCTTTAGTCGCAAGATTTCTGTTACCCTAGAGCATCTTAGAGACTACAAAGACCTTATCACAACTGCAACAAGCGATCTCGAGGTGCGATTCAAAACTACTGACGGAAAGTTCCAATCTTTAGTAGAGCGTACTACGTCAAGCTCTGCAATAACAGAACTTCAAAGCTTAAAGGACAAGCGCTCAAGCACACAAAAATGCCTCCAGATTTGCGTTCAGTTCTCCAAGCTTATCCGGCAGCTTCAGTCATCATCAGCGAAGGATCTTCCCCAAGGCTTAGACAGCATACCTAAGAAGACCACGAACAATGGCGTACGAGAATTGGAAACTGTTTCACAATCTGGTAACAAAAAACCATTTGGTAACTTGTCTCCTGAGAGTAATTTAAACAGTGGTGATATTAGGTCGATCAGATCTGAGGAAGCTGATAACCAGTCTTTCTACACTGGCTCCTGTGTGTGAGGTAGCGTTTGAGCTAGTGTCTGAAGAAAACTTTGCCGATAACCTTAAACGTATTCTCGAGGCTTTCCATGTGGATCTGAAGCAGTTTACGGGACTTTGATAGGGAAACAGCTGACAGCGATTTTACAGGCGAAAGAAACGCGAAAAAGGATACCGAAGAAAATCACTGATAGGTTCACCTTCTATCAGAATTCTCTGAATGAATAAGATTCACGGCGTGTCTATGATCAGGATGAAATGAATCTCTCTTATTTGGAGAACTGGTTGGTCAAGAGCAACAGCCCTCCACTTGCTCTTGAGGACGCTTCAGGACAGCTAGACATCGATATGTACGAAAAGCCAATCCCGAGCGAGATGAAAACTGATGGCGATTCAAACTACAAAGATGACAGTAGTGCAACACTTGACCGTGAGGTAGAAAGAGACGACAAAGAAGGAGAGAACTACTCGAGAAACATAGATGTGGCAAGATTTCCAAGACTGTGCCTTGTTATGCAAAGTCTTGTTGAAGACCAGCCTTTCCAAGAAACGATAGTGAGTTTGAGGGAGTTCCTCTTACCCATTGGCCTTCTTAGGGATATCTTATCAATACCCAGAAAGAATATCACATACGAGTCGAAAGGGAATTATGGTCTTTTGAATGTTTTTCAGATCCTGCTAGAGGATCTGACCGGGCTGGAATGGGATTGGTGGCCGTTTCCACCTCCGATGAGTCCACTCATCGATGGCGATACACGAGTATTTTGGCGATGCGTAAAAATTTCTTATCCACAAGTGTTCGTTGCATTGACTACGAAAGCTTTGTGGAACATTTTGCTGGCGAACATTGAAACCTGCACAAAAACGTATCCTTGAGGGCATCCTGAAAGAACCTTGAGGAATATCTCAACATCCACTTTCCTGCGCTTCGCTTTTGTCGCAAACAATTGAGACCAATCCATATGTTAGGTCAGCGCTAGTGTTAGGCAATCAGCCACAGTTAGCTTCCCTTCCGCTCAGCAGAAGCCTTGCTTCTACTGCTGTTCCTTCTCTACCTGTAAATAGCGATCTAGTCTCGTTATCTGCCGATAGCACAGTTTCTTTCCAAACATCCAGTGGAACTCCCCCAGTATCTGACCATACAGCCTCTAAGTCAAGTAGCTATCAGCAAAAGAAGCCATTTTGGCTCATCTTCAAGATTGAAGGGTCAAAGAACTTTGCCGATTGGGATCAATTTGGGGACGAAAAACTCACCATCGACCGTCTATTTCAACAAACGCTGAGACAACGGCAAAATGGGTTGAGAGAACAGTTCCGATTGTGGGTTTCGTATGGGCAACTTGGCTATTGGGAGTTCGTCAAGGTGAGATTGCAAAAATCCTTATATGAAGAAGTCTAGTAGTGCCGTCAGCTTCAGAAGACACGGCGGGGCCGACTCGTTGACCGAGGGGTCGACCTTCCTGAGACACTGGATTAATGGATATACCCCCCGCCCACCAATAATAACGGCATAAGATCCATGGATATCAAGACACGAGTTTGAGGAAATAGTTAAGTCATGTATCACGCCATGTTAGCTTGATTTCCTCCCCACTTTCTTCAAATTCCACGATCGTGCTTGCCCGAATGCCGACTCTAAACGTCTTGTAAGCACTTTGCTGAAGCGGGATACTAAGTTTATGGTGGATAGTTCTAGTGGTGGCGAAGATTATGTTTGGGGCATCCATGTAAGATACTCGGTATCTGTGCAAGTTATATGTTGTTTGGATTTATGTGGTAATCCTCGCAACTTCTCTTGGTCTCTAGATTTGGTAGAAAAAGAAACATCCAGATGATCTTTAAGGTGCATCGGTACCGTTGACTGTTATAGGTATTTTCATGTCGACATTTCAGGCTAGTACGGGAATTCCAAAGCGACTACGATAGCAGCTTTATTTATCTATCTTCATACCAGTGAAACCTTCGATGGATATGCTCAATGTGCTATTGAGACCTTCTACATCATAGACTCTATACAATAGCATCTTATTCGCTTTCCTTATGACATCGGGTACATCCATGAATTTTGATAATATGAATGAGCGTGCTAATTTGATTTTGCAACGCAGCATTTGCATCCCAGCTGCGAGGTTGAGCATCTAGTTAACGCTCCCAAAAGACCGTTAGGATGCATCACAGCAGATTTCCACAGTTTTTCTCCAGCAATTAGACATAACTTGGGATTTATTACTATGGCTTGCAATAGTATTTGAGCACGCTATGATACTGAGGGTCACCGCATAGCAAGTGACGTTAGTATGTACTAGTCCCCGAGGTCGCTGTTTGCAATAGTTACTCCCAACCAGCGAGACTGCTGGGCTGTACACTTCCCTAGTGGAAAAGGTATCTAAGTCCAGTCACGCAATTTTCTCCAAAATCACTTTCCGCTAGGCCTCTCGATTCTTTCAGTGATCCCTTAGGCTGCCAGTAGAAAGGGGGCAATCGATGAGGGGTCCATCGATGGCGTTGACGAAACAATCGGCAGCAATTGTTGCTGGAGGTTGATGGGCTACTGAAAAGACAATTGAAGGATGTTTCATACCAATCAAAGGTCTCAAGTTATGGACGTGTGTGCAGGAAACTCCGAAGGTTCTAAGTGTAAACATATCGCATTGCACTGCGCATCCCTGCACGTAGGGGCGGACGTTACTAACTACAGTAGAAACTGCTAGTTAGAGCTTTGTCACACAGCCTCAGCTCTTTAAAGATAACGCAGTTGCACACTGCAGGCCACTAAGTTTTCCGAATTCTTCTTTGTTAGCATCCTAAGTCCTTTCACTAAACTGAGAGATGTACACACCGAGCCGGTCAAGCTCAGAGTGCCCGCAGACAGATGCTATATGTCTTCATACAATGGCTATAACTTCTTTGTTCTAAGTACTGGTAACCATAGAGGCTCTTTAAATAAGCAGGCTAAGCACTTGAAAAGAGTCGAGCACGGGTATGTTGCCACCGCAGTTGTTATTGCTGTGCACAGAATACCCAGCAAAGTTTATATATTTGCTGTGAATTTGCTATATAAGATTCTCAAGAGGTAGCAACAGTTAGCAAGGATATATAGGAATTTGGTTTGTCCTATGTGCTTGTAGATTAACGGCTAAGGTGCGTTGGCAATGTTGGTGGTTTGTCGCACAGGGCTGTGATGTGGTATCTGCACCACCACATCAAGCTTTGATAGCACAACCTGTGGGTCGTATGCGACTAGATCAGCTGCTCTGAAGCCAGCTTGGATATTCCCCTTTGTAATAGACTGCTTTTGAGCAGTCTCGAAGGCTGGTAGGAAGGTCTCCTTGTTAATATAGTTAGTGCGGTTGCGTGCCAAGCCCGAAACAGCGTCGCCGTACTTGCGCTTTAACGGCGAGAGGCAGGCGACGTCAAGGGGCTGCAACAGGTGAGACGAGCGCGCAGGCATGCAGAGAAGAACAATATTCTTCTCCTTGCAAAGATCTTAAAAATCGACCGAGCAGTGGCTCTCATG